CTAGAGCCTGTCTTGTGTGGGATTTCTCCTTCTGCCTGGCTCCTGAGCTAGTGGGGACGCTGTCTGCTCTGTGATACAGAGTCCTGATGACTCCCAACTTGTGCTCCAAAGGGTGATGGGAGTCAAACTGCAAATACTGGTCTGTGTGGGTGGGTTTGCGGTACACCTCAGTTTGCAAATGTCCTCTATCAGAGACTGAGACCTCACAGTCCAAGAAAGCCAACCTGCCATTTTTTACATCTTCTCGTGTGAACTTGATGTATTTATCCACAGAGTTGATGTGGTCAGTAAAATGTTGGACTTCCTGAGATTTGATTTTAACCCAGGTGTCGTCAACATACCTGAACCAATGACTTGGTGGTGTCCCTGAAAAGGACGTCAAGGCTCTCTTTTCTACCTCCTCCATGTACATGTTGGCAACAATAGGAGAAACTGGAGACCCCATAGCACACCCATGTTTCTGCCTATAATATTGCTCCCCATATGTGAAGTAGGTTGACTGCAGGCACAGTTTCAAGAGTTGACACAGTTGTTCTGTGGAAAGCGTGGTCCTGCTGCTCAGAGTGGTGTCTGATTTTAATCTTAAACTGACCACCTCTACTGCATCATCAACAGGAATGCACGTAAAGAGTGATGTGACATCAAAAGAGACCATTGTTTCATCAGTTCTCCATGATGACATCCCTCACCTTATCCACAAAGTCCATGGTGTTCTGTATGAGGTGTTCTGAGCTGCCAACTAAAGGGATGAGTACAGATGCCAGATATTTGGAAACATTGTAAGTGACAGAGTTAATCATACTAACAATTGGTCTTAAAGGTACACCTTGTTTGTAGATTTTAGGTAAACCATACAGACTAGGTGTGGCCTCCCCTGGGTACAGTCTGTGGTACAGAAAACGGTCAATAGCCTTGTCCTGCTCCAAAATTTTCAGGCAATCTATTAACTTTTTCTTGTAACCACTTCCTGGATCTCTTTTCAGAGGTTCATAAGTGTCTAAGTCACTAAGGAGTGTCATAACTTTCTCATGATAGTCTTTCTGGTTCAAAATCACTGTGCACCTTCCTTTGTCTGCTGGGAGAATGATGATGTTTTTGTCCTTGCTAAGAGTGGTGAGTGCTCCCTCTCCTCTCTACTGATGTTGGAAGGTGGTGGTCCAGAGGACCAGATTTAACTTTTTTTGATTTTTCTACCTGGATTATTGAGCATGCATCAGGATATACACTCCCAATGTTTTGTTGGTCTTTTTTTTGTAAATAATTACCTTTTTTGTGGTTTTATTTATTTTTGTATCTTGAGATCTATGAAATCATCAAATACTCGAGTTCTACTCGGGTTTTATTATGTTAATGTCGAGTTTAAAAATTATAAACTCGTTCAACCCCTACCGAGCAGGAGTGGGCATACTTATTGCCCCCCATCTTGGTGCCTGTGTGTTGGGGTTCACCCTGGTGAATGAGAGGGTGGCCTCCCTCCGCCTACGGGTGGTGGGATGGGTTCTGACTGTCGTTTATGCTTATGCACCAAATGGCAGTTCAGATAATCCACCCTTTTTGGAATCCTTGGAGGGGGTACTGGAAAGTGCACCCCCTGGGGACTCCCTTGTTCTGCTGGGGGACTTCAATGCTCACGTGGGCAATGACAGTGAGACCTGGAGGGGTGTGGTTGGGAGGAACAGCCCCCCTGATCTGAACCCAAGTGGTGTTCTGTTATTGGACTTCTGTGCTCATCATGGATTGTCTATAACAAACACCATGTTCAAGCATAAGGGTGTCCATATGTGCTCCTGGCACCAGGACACCCTAGGCCGCAGTTTGATGACTGGGTCTGACCAGGGGAGGATGCTGGTCAGACCCAAACGTATTGTAAGGGTTTGCTGGGAACGTCTGGTAGAGACTCCTGTGAGACGGAGCTTTAACTCCTACCTCCTGGAGAACTTCGAACATGTTCCAGGGGAGGATGGGGACATTGAGTCCGAGTGGGCCATGTTCCGTGCCTCTATTGTCGAGGCGGCTTACCGGAGCTGTGGCTGCAAGGTTGTCGGTGCCTGTCGCGGCGGCAACCCTCGAACCCGGTGGTGGACACTGGCGGTGAGGGATGCTGTCAGGCTGAAGAAGAAGCCCTATAGGGCCTTTTTGGCCTGTGGGACCCCGGAAGCAGCTGATGGGTACCGTCAGTCCAAGCGACATGCGGCTCAGGTGGTCGCTGAGGCAAAAACTCGGGCATGGGAGGAGTTTGGAGAGACCATGGAGAATGATGTCCGCATGGCTTCGAGGCGATTCTGGTCCGCCATCCGGCGTCTCGGGGGGGGGGGAAAGCGGTACACCACCAACACTGTTTATAGTGGGGGTGGTGTGCTACTGACCTCAACTTGGGATGTCGTGGGTCGGTGGGCAGAATACTTTGAAGACCTCCTCAATCCCACCGGCACATCTTCCACTGAGAAAGCGGAGCCTGGGGACTCTGGGTTGGGCCCTCCAATCTCTGGTGCTGAGGTCACTGAGGTGGTTAAAAAAACTCCTCGGCGGCAGGGCCCCAGGGGTGGATGAGATTCGCCCAGAGTTCCTTAAGGCTCTGGATGTTGTAGGGTTGTGTTAGCTTACGCGACTCTGCAATAGTGCGTGGACATGGGGGAAGTTCCCCTGGATTGGCAGACCGGGGTGGTGGTTCCCCTATTCAAAAAGGGGGACCGTGGAGTGTGTTCCAACTACAGGGGGCTCACGCTCTTAAGCCTCCCTGGTAAAGTCTATTTGGGGGTTCTGGAGAGGAGGATCTGTCAGATAATCGAACCTCGGATTCAGGAGGAGCAGTTCAGTTTTCATCCTGGTCGTGGAACACTGGCCCAGCTCTACACTCTCAGCAGGGTCCTGGAGGGTACATGGGCGTTTGCCCAACTGGTCTACATGTGCTTTGTGGACTTGGAGAAGGCGTTAGACTGCGTCCCTCGGGGAACCCTGTGGGGGGTGCTCTGGGAGTATGGGGTACCGGGCCCTTTGATACGGGCAGTTTGGTCCCTGTATGACCAGTGTCAGAGCCTGGTCCGCATTGCCGTCAGCAGTAAGTCGGGCTTGTTCCCGGTGAGAGTTGGACTCCGCCAAGGTTGCCCTTTGTCACTGATTCTGTTCATAACTTTTATGGACAGAATTTCTAGGTGCAGCCAAGGTGTTGAAGGGATCTGTTTTGGTGGCCTTAGGATTGCGTTTCTGCTTTTTGCAGATGATGTGGTCCTATTGGCTTCATCAGGTCGTGATCTACAGCTTTCACTGGAGCGGTTCGCAGCCGAGTGCGACACGACCAGGATGAGGATCAGTTCCTCCAAATCTGAGGCCATGGTCTTGAGCTGGAAAAGGTAGAGTGCCCTCTCTGGGTCAGGGAGGAGGTCCTGCCCCAAGTGGAGGAGTTCAAGTATCTTGAGGTCTTGTTCACGAATGAGGAAAAAATGGAAGGTGAGATCGATAGGCGGATAGGTGCAGCATCTGCAGTGAAGCGGGCGCTGTACAGGTCTGTCGTGGTGAAGAGAGAGCTGAGTCAAAAGGCGAAGCTCTCAATTTACCGATCCATCTACGTTCTCACCCTCATCTATGGTCATGAGCTTTGGGTTATGACCGAAAGAACAAGATCTCAGATACAAGCGGCCGAAATGAGTTTTCTCCGCAGGGTGTCTGGGCTCTCCCTTAGAGATAGGGTGAGAAGCTCGATCATCCGGGAGGGACTCAGAGTAGAGCCGCTGCTTCTCCACGTCGAGAGGAGCCAGTTGAGGTGGCTCGGGCATCTGGTTAGGATGCCTCCTGGATGCCTCCCTGGTGAGGTGTTCTGGACACGTCCCACCGGGAGGAGACCCAGAGGAAGACACAGGACACGCTGGAGGGACTATGTTTCTCGGATGGCCTGGGAACGCCTCAGGATTCCCCCGGAGGAGCTGGACCAAGTGGCTGGGGAGAGGGAAGTCTGGGCCTCCCTACTTAAGCTGCTACCCCCCGCGACCCGACCCTGGATAAGCGGAAGAAAACAGATGGATGGATGGATGAATGAAAATGGTCATGTGTCAGCCAAGAATTTGTTTAAATATGGGAAAAAAAATCCATAAATAAGTCGATCGGCCTAGAAGTCAGAGGGCATGAAAATTATGCAAAAAACTGCGACTTATAGGCTGGAAAATATGGGTAAATGGGATTTTCCATTTACAACTTGCTTTGAACATTCTGACGACTGTAACCATTGTCATGAAGGGGAGCTTCACCTTACCTCTGGGCCACAGAATACGCTGACTGAACAGGTAGAGTGTATGGCATGAGCATGTAGGAGGCTACTCTTAATGGCAGCATCCCAGACACCTTGGCGTAGAGACCAGCTTTGTCTTGGCAGGCTTCACAGAACACTGACGAACACAGCAGACACAACGTCTTATAGATTATCTGTACCTTCAAATTCTGTGACAGGAACTGAGAAACAAAGAAAATCTGAGGCCTCACACCTTTTTTTATTGGAGTAGGCAGAGCGATCTGTTCATCCAGCCACCAGTGCTTCTTCTGATGCAGCAGACGGAGTCTCCGAAGCACCCATTCTTTGGTTGTTTCAGCAGATGGCCTGTTGCAGCAGCTCACAGAGCTGTGTGGAAGGCCGGGGCTGGGACACACCAGCATTAGCAGGTCTAGCAGCACAAACCAGAATGTAAGAGGCATGGCTCAAGATGAAAACTGATCAGGCTCAGGTTGAAACTGATCAGGGTGTGACTGGATTATCTAAAAGTGTCACAGCGGCACAGCACTCACTGTTCTCCTCAAGGAAGCGGAGAGCATCTTTATAACCACTCTGACACATCTCTGCCAGGACCTGTGACAACAAATATAAGAAACAAAAAGCACTTTTATGAATGAAGTCAGTGCACATTTTCAGTTCGTCCATTTTGGCCTCACGCTTGTTTAATAAACAATGACATGGTGGAACTGGTTTCGTGTTTTTGTCCACATAAGGTCAGATTTGTATAAATGAAAGGACCAGATCATTTGTATTCTGTTACGACGCATAAAACTCCAGAAACATGGTGGACCTAAATTTTCTTATGACTGCTTCAAAACTTTCAGTCATTGCCCCCACCTCCACCCCAAACATGACAACTAAATAATGAATAAATAAAAACAATAACAAACAAATTATGATGTCCCCCGACTTTGAGGTATCCACCTTATTCCTGGGGCTCTACTGTCTAAATGATTCTGGTACAACTTCCTGTCAGACAGGAAGTAGCTGTAATCATTGGTTAACCATGGTAGTGGAGCACAGACCGTGGTTTATTTGAAAGTAATTTGAATTCAGTTTAGCAGATAAAACACTGTTTTTGTTTACATTTATGTAACAACCATAAAGTTTACTGAAATAGCCGTGCTGCGTTCAGGTACCTGTTGTGTTCATGGCTGCAGAACAAACAGACCAAACTAAATCAGTGGCTACAACAACAGTTTGAAGATGGACCCAAACAAAAAGAGTTCCTGTGAAAAGAGGTATAGTTTCCATCTCCTCCCTACAGATGAGGAATTAAGAAGAATGTGTCTGAAAATGTGAACTTGAAGAGACCACCCAAAACTCTGTATGTGAGCTCATTTCACTTTGTTGACAAAGGGCCGACTGCAGAAAACCTGCATCCTACTTTGTGTCTGGACTACAATAAACCATCGGAGGAGACGCTGGATCCTCAGAAGGATTGAAAACAGTGACGAGAACATCAGGTTTGATTCAAGTGTATGGAGGTCACAGCTTTATAGTATTTGTTCATCTTCAGTTTTGTGATTTTCTCTATGATGAACCCAAGCTCAGTGATGGAGGACTTTAAGACTTTGGCTGGTTCTGTGTCTGATTTAAGGTCAATCAGATTGTGCCCCACCTCTTTTAACAAAACACAACCGACTTTATTAATGTGTAGACACTAATACACCCCAGAGCTTCTCAGGTTGTTCATCACTTCACCATCAGAAGAACTGAGTTAATGAAGTAGCTAAATATGCTAGTAGATGTAATCTGCAGCCACTTCTTCAGCTCGTCCTCAGCAGGCAGAGGTATGATGATATTGTCCTGTCTGAGCTCTGACAGGTGGTGTTCCTGCATGTTTAAATTAAATCCACAATGATCAGAGAAACTACATTAGCTCGTACTGTTCACACACAAACTAACGCTGGTTCTGGTCCACACCAGGCGTCGTGCTCATAATTCACGCAAGGCACCATGGGGGCTAGGAATAAGGTGGACATGAATAGCGAATGTTATTTTTAGTTTTCAAGATGAGACTCTTCTGGACTGGAAATGAACAGGGAATGAAAAAAAACCTTAATGGTTTTGGTGCAAGATATTCAAGTGGGTAGGAGTTCCACGGTGAAGGAAAACAAGTATTTTCTGAAACGGCGCACAATGACGAATCTTGAAGAGTGGAGGGAGCAATTTTATCCACCACCAGGTGCCAGGGGGTGTCCAATGGTGGCCTTGGCCCCCATAGATTAATCTCACAACATGCATGGATGGATGGAAGATATTTCCATTTCCTCCTCTTCGATTCACAACAGGGGACAAAAAGCTTTGGTGTAATGTCTCAGTGTGTTTGATCATTATACATATAAATACAGAGTCTGAAACTCTTTCCATCTAAACATAAGTGTTGGTATCGCTGCAGCTTTACGTTAAATAAACTCAAAGACTTGAATGACATTCATCTACCTACTTTAGGTTCTGGGGGAAACAAAGCCCTGCTGAGTCGATACAAGTTGCCCATGTTCATCTGGATGCTGGTGTTAGTGAAGCGCAGCTCGTGGAAGCTCGTGGAGTTGTCCCGAGGACATATGTCACTTTCTCCAGAGAAGGGAGAGATGGTGATGGTGTTCTTCATCTCCGACTGTGGCAGGTTATCACTGATCCCGCCATCCACGTACCTCTGGACACACAAACGGGAACAATTGCACATTTGTATATTTTTTCAACCCCTAACTGAACACAGTGAACGGCAGGAGTCTATTAGTCTGGTTCATCCATGCCAGGAATCACACAACATGTGATGAACTTACAAAATCTAGCACACACACACGTTTGCCAATATTCCTTAATTTTGTAGTACCTAGAACATATAATGTTGCCAGATTGTTTCTTTTTTTTTTGTAATCCACCAGCAGTCACATGCTGAAGTGTCCCTGAGTAAGACACTGAAGCCCTCATTGTCTCTGATGTGTGTCCCATCAGTGCATGAATGTGATAAAGCTCTGATTATTCTTTGTAGGGATCTAGTATAGAGCTGTATGAATGGGTAAATGAGGCACAGATTGTTGTAAAGAGCTTTGAGTGTCTTGATAGAAAGGAGCTGTATAAGTACAGTCCATTAACCATTTTGTAAATGTTTCCTTTAATCTAAAGTTTTGATTCAATTAACTGTAACGGGCTTTTTATGTCTGCCACTGACAGATCGCAAGTGATAGACATTTATTTTAATATTCTATTTGCATATCATGTAGCTATTTAACCTAATTTTTCTACCTTGTTTGATAGTGAAAGGCAACTTTGGATCCATTCATCCTTCATTTCTACAGGTTAGTCTCATGGAGCCTCGAGGACTCAGTTACAAGAGAGACCTGATTTAAACAAAGAGCACAGATGAGGGACAGACAACAATAGACAATCATATAAAAAGCATTTAAAATGAAAAATAAATAGAAGAAATGATAAGAAAAGCAGCTACATTATAAAGCAATATAAAATACTACAAACAGGACCATGTCTGTCATGTCTTGGTTTTTGCCATGAACTTAGATGTTTGAAACCACTTAGAGAGGTCAAAGGTCGAGAGTTTCAGATGTTTTTACAAGATATTCCAGGAAACAGGAGCGGAGTAGGAGAAGGTCCTTTTGTCTAGTTCAGTCCTCACTGAGGGAACACTGCAGGTAATGATGTCCTGAGAGCGCATCATCTATCCATCCATCCTCAGAAATCTCCTTTGTTCCACCAACATGTGAAGAGCAGACTTTGATACATCCTGTTCTTTAAATCAAACAGGGTGTCCACTCACACCTGGTCATCATCATTGATTGAAAACACCTGACTCTAATTTCACCTTCAAATTAACTGATAATCCTCGAGGTTCAGACTTTTTCCACTCACAGATATGTAATATTGGATCATTGTCCTCAATAAATAAATGATGAAGTATTATATTCTTCTCTCATTTGTTTAACTGGTTCTCTTTATCTACTTTTAGGACTTGTGTGAAAATCTGTTGATGCTTTAGATCAAATTTATGCAGAAATACAGAAAATTATAAAGAGTTCAGAAACTTTGAAGCACCACTGTAGGTTGGTCCCTTGTAACTTCCTACACGAGCCTGGTGATGTAACAGAGTCTTGCACAAAGTGCCCTCTGAGCCTGGAGAAGCTTGAAGGAGCTGAAGGTACACAATGTGCAGAATCCATAGATAACACTTGCAGTCAGAGTATCTGTACAAACAGAAAGCCTTGGAGCTTGTAAAAGCCCCCCTGGCTCTAGCTTAGCTTTACTTGCGTTACTGTGGTCTGTTGTCACAGATATTTAGCAACAAGATTAGGACACGAGGATCTGGTCAGGGTGAAATATTACAAAATGGCAACAAAGGAGGTCTTTGAGGAGTATGTCTTGTTTAGACTGTGAGATATCTCCTCAGCTGCCAGACACCCATCTGTCCAACTCCTTTAATACATATAGCATTTTTAAATAAATACCCATAACTGTTCAATCATTAAATCGGGGAAACTAAACAGCCACTGGCCAAAAGGATGGACCAGCACAGAAGATCAACATCATCAGGTCAGGACTCTGCGGTCTACACTCATCTCCAGGCCAGCGGTCACTCTTTCAGGGATGAAGATGTTCACATCCTGGACAGAGAGGAACGATGGTTTGAGAGAGGAGTAAAGGAGGCCATCTTTGTGAAAAGAAATCGTCCATCATTAAACAGGGGCGGAGCCTCCAGGTTCAACTGTCCCCCTCTTACAATGCTGTGATTGCTAGTATCACTCAGCCCTCTGTGAACAGTAAACAACCATCAGTGTGCTAATGATCCATTGTTAGGCTGATAGTCCTTCTTGACCATGTGATCAGCTGGTTTTGGTTGTCAGCAGCAAACTGGTTGATCCACTCTGAGAAGGTGCTATTTAAGAGACTGAGCTGAATACAGCACCTCAGACTGAGGAAGTCTCTCGGATGAGAGACGAAACGTTTCTATATATATATATATATATATATTTTTTTTTTTTTTAATGTCCAGAGAACCAGATTTAACTTTTTTAGATTTACTATTATATCTTTTTGTGGGCGGCTGTGGCTGAGTGGTTAGAGCAGTCGTCCTCCAATGTGAGGGTTGGGGGTTTGAATCCACCAGCAGTCACATGCTGTAGTGTCCCTGTGCAAGACACTGAACCCCTCATAGCCTCTGATGTGTGTCCCATCAGTGTATGAATGTGATAAAGCTCTGATTAGTCTCTTTAGAATGATTGTTCAATTAGCTTTGTAGAGATCTAGTATAGAGCTGTATGAATGAATGAGGCACAGATTGTTGTGTAAAGAGCTCTGAGTATCTTGAAATAAGACAGTAAGGTGCTATATAAGTACAGTCCATTTACAATTTATATCTTTGTCTGTTTTTTTCTATGGTGGAAAGGCCTCTTCAGTCTGAGTAAATAAAAACTTAATTTAATCATTTAGAAAATGGTAGATGGTTGTACTCCAAGTCTCTCCTGATAACAGAACTTCTCACAATCTCTAAGAAAGTGTCCAGCTACTCTGCAGAGGAAACTCTTTTCAACTTCCTGTATCCATGATCTTGTTCTTTCAGTCTCTGCCCAGAGAGGGTGACCATAAATGAGGGTAGGAATGTAGACTGACCAGTAAACAGAGACTTTGTTTTGCAGCTCAGCTCTCTCTTCACCACAACGGACCAGCACAGGGTACGCAATACTGCAGAAGCTGCACTGATCTGTCTGTTAATACCATGCCCCATTCTCCCCTCACTCATGAACAAAACACCGAGATACTTGAACTACTGCACTTGGGCAGCAGCCAGTCCACCAGTTCCATGGCCTCAGATTTGGAGGTGCTGATCTTGATCCCGGCTGCTTCACACTTGGCTGTGAACCGTTCCAGTAAGAGTTGGAGATCACAGCAAGATGGTGCCAACAGCCACCATCATCTGCAAACAGCAGGAAGGGGATGCTGAGGCCCTCCCCTGCCATGGCTTCATTGAGAAATTTAGTACAAAGCATGAGCCACTAGACAGATTTTAATGAAGCTCCAAGGCAGTAATCACCCTATGAACATCTACAACTTGAAATATCATTTGGAGTAAAGTCCATTCAAGAGGACCGCCACAGCTACTCAACCTTTACTAACACAGAAATGGCTATCACCTCCTCCACATCACCAATATTAAGTGCTAACGTGTTGCGAATTATTGTTGTGGTGGCCACCTGGAATTAAAACAGTCATGGAAGAGATGTATTTTTTGAAGGAATGTGAGGTGTTCGATTGCTTTTCAGATGTTTCAGTAAGAACCAAACAGACACCTACCACTCCTCTGAAGGACGGAGGGATCAGCCCACAATAGATGGGAATGAAACAGCTGCAGATGAGTGCCTGTGGACAGAACAGGGTTAAACCAGCTCCAGTCTGAGCATCAGAACACCAACAACACGCCTCCAGACCTGTATGAGCTCCTCTTTGGAGCCAAACTCAGACACCAACACGTTCTCCCCATCCGACACCCGGGTCAGTGACACGCACAGCCTTCCTGAGGCCAGGACATGTGCATCAGACGGCAGGTCCCGATTCAGGCCGGACCTCAGGACCTTCACCAGGTTGAAGGTTGGGTGAAGTGGGCCGAGGTTTCTTTTCCTGGCTTCCTTCGCCACCTCGATAACGTCCTCACAGCATTTAGCTGGAAAATAAAGAAGCTTGTTTAGGACTTATGAAGCTAAAAGTATGAAGATAAATTAACCTCAAAAAGTAGTTGAACAAGCATACAACAAATATTTGTATGTGTACAGTAAGTTCCACAGACTCCACTGTGAATGAATAGCTATTCAAATATATACTGCATTTTCTGTCGTACACGTCGCTCCGCCCTATAAGTCGCATCAGTCCATATTTGTCTAAAAAAAGTGGAAAAATCCACAAATATTAGGGGTTCACTGATAAATTGGCCCCAATTTCCTTAGTTTTGGGAAATCGGAAATCAGCCAATACTTGCATGAGAAACCGATTTTACCAATTTGTTTAGCTTTCACAACAATTGTCTGAACTTCATTTATATTTCAGAGCACTACCTCATGGCCAGTTAAAACAAGTTTGTATTGTTCAAGGATATGTTTTTCAACAACATAAGATTGGAAAACTGAAGGTGTATTGTGACCATATAACACCTGACAGCGTCACTTATAAAACAAATTCGGAATCGGCCAAAATCGGAATCGCCAGGTCAGACTTTTTAGAAATCGGTGATCAGCCAGAAAACTGCAATCGGTGCACCCCTCCGCCATATACGTCGTATCTATTATGAGTCACCGCTGATGCGTTGCGTCTGTTGCGCGTTAGCGCTGACAACCCGGACGTGGGCTGGTGTTGTGCCAAAAATCGATAGGCTGCCAAATGGCGGCCACAGGAGCGTGCACAGGACTTTAACAAGAATTTAACAAGATTAACACTTAAAAACAATTGTTTGTTTGCTCGAAATTATAGTAAAGGTGTCTCAGTTGAAAGTTTGCTTAATAAATGCACTTTAATGGTTGAATCAGCTGCGTTTCGCCGGGATGATGCAGCAAAATGAAGCTGAGCTCCAAGCAGAGAGCAGAAGGAAGGTGGCTGTCTACGGCAAGCCGATTGTGTCATTAATATCTGGTGAAAATTCTCAGTCATCCAGGACATGGTAAATTCAAAAAAAGTTCGGCTGTGGCTGAGTGGTTAGAGCAGTCGTCCTCCAATGCGAGAGTTGGGGGTTTGAATCCACCAGCAGTCACATGCCGAAGTGTCCCTGGGCAAGACACTGAACCCCTCATAGCCTCTGATGTGTGTCCCATCAGTGTATGAATGTGATAAAGCTCTGTTAGTCTCTTTAGAATGATTTGTTCAATTAGCTTTGTAGAGATGTAGAGTGCTGTGTGAATGGGTCAATGAGGCACAGATTGTAGTGTAAAGATCTTTGAGTGTCTTGAAATAAGATAGAAAGTTGCTATATAAGTACAGTCCATTTACCATACATGTGCACAAATCAGCTGCTGCAGATGGATCAGTCGACACAAGCGCACTGATCAGCTGCTGAATTCTGTGGTACGCTTGTGTGACTACTTCTGAACCCGAATGATCCTGGATCGATAATATGCAGAGCTAACAGGAGTCAGTGACCCGAATGACTGAGGTCACTGCAGCTCCTTATCTGTCAGTGTGCAGAGGTCGATGAAAACAAACTTGTTGTTATCACTTCCTAGGATTATATTGCACCTATTTATGAAAGTGGAAGTTAAAGAGCCTCTGACCCATGGACAACACGTTAATAGCACTGAATCACCCATTTTATGAACAAAGACAGTGAACAACATAGAAGTGCTGCTATAAATATAATCTATACTTACACTAAACTTCTCATGACTCATTGAACTTTACATTAAATTCTCTGAATCATTAAAGGAACACCTGATTAACTTTTGGGGTTTACCCAATTGAAGATAGCCACTACAGCAAATCATGCTTAGTAAACACAAAAAAGACTTCAACTGAGTCAACTTTAAACGTATTAAACTACATTTTGGTGCAGTAGTAGCTGAGAGTCATCCCTAACAATTCCCGGTACTAGGGGTGGACAACATTTTTTCCAGAGGCTAAAATCCAGATATTTAAAACAACTAAGTGAAGGGCTGCATGGAGAATTAGAAAATACATTTTACTGAAGACAGATCATGTAGAAGACTTTACAGCCTTCTTGTGTAGCACACTAGTACTCTTAAGGATACAAGACATCATTTCTGTAAACTGGCTTTTGTACCTTAAGTTCAATACGTATAACATCGACAGGCCTATGTCCGATCAACGACTGAGCAAATACACCACTATCTTTCTGGTGTGACACGATATGACGATGATGTGACAATATATTAGTTAGACTGAATATTCAGCCATTATCTCTACCCACTTATTTCGTTTCGGGTCGCGGGGTCACTGGTGCCCATATTCAGCTATCACTGCGCGAGAGGCGGGGGACACCCTGGACATGTCTCCAGTCCATCACAGGGACACCCTGGAC